TTTGTCCTATTAGTGGGGGTCATAGAAACCCCTGATTCATAGCCAAGTCAGACAGAAGTTGTGAGTAATCTGAGGACCTACTAATTGCAGTTGGCATTTGAAGTGGGGAGCAGTCTTGTGGGACTGAGCCCTTAATCTATGGGGTATATGCTAACTCCAGCTACTATCTGGGTTGAACTGAATTGCAGGACGCACAGCCTGGTGTTGGAGAGTTGGTCAACGTAGGACGACAAAACAAAACACATCTGGTGTCAGAAGTATTGTGTTGTGAGTAAAGGAAAACAGTGTACTATGCTTTTCCCTAGATACAAACTTTTACAGCTATTTCTTGATTTATCAGTTTTAGCAAGTAATCTCAACTTTCAGTTCGGAAGTTGGATATGCTGGTCAAATTTTATTTGCTTCTCTAGGTCCAGTCTGTGTCTCTGTTTTGTTCTGTGTCCTGGGAGGATGACCTCAATGGACTGGATCACTAGAGCCCCCTTGACCTTTGGCTGATAATTTCATTTTGCCAATGGCGAGTACTGGCAGGAGATCTAAGGTCAGGAACAGAGAGAGGTCATGTGTCTACTCCCTAGTCCCTGATGATCCTTCCCTATCAGATTACAACTTAATAGTGGCTGTGTTTACCTACCCATGGCCATTGTTCTGTTGGTGGGCCCCTTCTCACAGTTATAGGTCTTGCCAGTTCCAGTAACACTTTCCCCCATGCCTTCTTTTGTAAGGCTAGGAATAGCTTCCTACTATTGTTAGTCTCTAGGTGCATCACCAATTCTTTTGGGTTCCTTAATCCTTCCCTCAACTCTATGGTCTTTTCGTTAAAATTCTCTTCAACTACCTTTTGAATAAGCTGTTTTCTGCAGAAGCCATGACTAAATAATATTTAGCTCCTACATTTTTCACACACTTACCCTCCTCCTCCCATTCTTTCAGCAGTTATTTACTCTTTAGGATATAACCAGACAAAAAATAGGACTTAAGAAAAAAATGTTTTTAAATTATTTAAAAAGTTTAATTGATTTTTCGAGAGAGAGTGGGAGGGAGGGAGGGGGAGTGGGGGGAAAGAGAGACAGAGGGAGAGGGGGAGAAAGAGAGCAAGGAACAGAGAGACACCGGTTTGTTGTTCCACTTATGCATTCATTAGTTGTTTCGTGTATGTGCTCTAATCAGGGATCAAGCCCCCTACTGGGGATTGAACCTGTGACCTTAGGGTATACAGACTACATTCTGGCTAACTGACCTACCAGGCCAGGGCCAAGAAAAAATATTTTAAATAAGTATTTAATTCAGGGAACTGACTACTCAATTGATGGATTTGATGGGAACCCAGAACTAGGGTAGGTGGGGCAACACAGACATTAGTATCAACAGGAAACAATTAACACCTTTGGGCTAAAGGGACAAAACTAGTGTGGTGTTACCAGTGTCGAGGGTCCAAGGTCACTCAGTAAATGTTGGAACCATGTCAGCACTGCTTGGAAGGGCCACTGGAGGAAAGGTGGGAGATGCAGACATTGCCATAGAAGCCAGCTGAAGTATATAGGAAGCAGAAGAAACCTAGATTCTCCCTACTTCCTGCCCTCCAGACTCATTTAAGTGCCTCTCAGTGGCTGAACCTAAATGGAAGCCAGATGGCAAGTAAACTTATGAGAGGTAATTTGCAGCAGTCATACTTCTGAGATATAAAATTATCCAAGGGAAATTCTGGGGCATTTGAACTCTTTTATGTAGGCTACCATTCAATTCAGGCTTTAGCAAACTATTAGATCCACTTCCAGATGCTTCCTTCACCTTGCCCATTCAATGCCAAATCTCAGGTAAATTTACCCATCTTGATAAATCTTACCTGATTTAACCTTATGTTCTCTTCTCCTCAGTCCAGCAAACTTGAAATCCATTCCCACAATACTTCCTGGTTTCTTGCTTATACAAATTAGCAGGAACTTGCAGTTACATTGGATATAAGTGCTATGTCCTCTCCAGATCCTGAAATTCTCCCCTGGGCAATGCTAGAAACTGACTCTTCAAGGGCAATATGAGTGGTGGGGTGTGTTCTTGAGGAGTTGCTTTTTACCGCCTCTGTGAAGTCATTAAAGATTCTTATTTTGTCTTTCCAATCAGCTTTATTTTTAATAGGCACAACCTGGAAATAACCTAAATGTTTATCAACAACTGACAGATACCTATTTGCATCCCATTCATACACAGTGAAGTATACTCAGCAACAAAAAAGAATGACCTATTGATATTCTCAACAGTAATCTCAAAACAATTGTGCTTACTAAAAGAAGGTAGGAAAAAATAATTGTATTACAGTTATATAAAATTCTAGAAAATGCAAACTTATATCATTGATAGGTTCTTGGAAACTGTGGCATTAAGCAACATGACATATAACTAAGCAAATTCTATCATACACCAGTTTATATAAGCAAAACAAGTTCCTATGGCATTATTCTTGTCACACAAACACGAGACTTCTAAACAATGACCCCAAAACTTCTCATATTAAACACTGATATAAGTGTATGTTATACATACATTTAAGATTGATTAATAAAAACAAATAAAACTATTATTTTCTAACCCGCTCATTCCAGTTCAGGGCTGTAGGTGGCTGGAGCTTATCCCAGCAGCTCGGAGTGCAAAGTGGAAATGAACCCTGGAAAGGACAAGCTTCTGTCACAGGGCATACTCACTCCCATGCCCACTTAGACTGTGACAATTTAGACACGCCAGTCCATCTAATGTGCACATCTTTGGGATGTGGCAAGAAACTGGAGTACCTGGAGAAAACCTACGGAGACATGGGGAGAATGTGCAAACTCCACACAGCTAGTAGCCCAGTTTGGATCAATTTTTCTCATTTAACTTCATATCAACGTAACAGTGAACAAAATGATGTTATTCAAATACCTGCTATATTGTGAAATGAAACAAATCAATGGTTGCATGGAGATGAGGCATCAGTGAAGGACAAGAAGAGATTATTAAGGGGCATGAGAAAACTTTTTGGAGTAATGATATGTTCACTATCTTAAATGTGGTGATGGTATTAGATGTGTCAAAACTTAAAAAATTGCACAATTTAAGTATGTGCAGTTCACTATATTCCAATTATGTACCAATAAAACCGTTAAGTGAAATAGTTATACATAAAAATATGGATTTCCTATTTCTCTTAGAAAATCAACCAACTGTATATTGACTCTACCTCCTCCCACTTTGCCTATTTTGGTAGAGTCAGCCTGCCTCAGTGGCAGCAAAAACTGTAGAACAAATAAAACTATGTCTACTCAAATACTAGCTGGGTCACAAGACCCACCCGAAACGGCAGGATCTTTCTTCTCTGCCTTGGGGTTCCTGCTTGCGCAATGATGGCCATAAGGTCAACAGCGCTGGTTGGTACTGGAATCCAGAAAACCTTTATATTATTTGTTCTGACACTGACCTCAGCCACAGGCAATAGAGAGGTCCGTAGGTCCTAAGAACTCCTGTATCCCTTTTAAACCCCAGAGCCACAGACACATGAAATTTGCGTATGCTCTTCTGAGCAGACACGATCTCTAGTTTGCTACAATCGCTATCATTTCCTACTATTAATGTTTCAGTACACACTTTGTATATCTGAAAGGTGTATTTTACTTTTTGAAAAAAAAATTTCTCTAAATAAGATGTAACAACATGTAACAGAATATAATCAGAACTATTTTAGCACTTCTAAGTAAAACAGTATTTAGCAGTATTAGTCTAAGTGTAAAGGCTTAAATTTTTAGTAAGTAGAAAAACAGAATTAGTATTTCTCTTAATGAATTTGAATATCAGGAAAGATGACATTTTGTACACTAGAACAAGAAATCTCAATTATGTTTCCCGCTTAGCTCCTGTAGGTCTTATCTGCTTGCCAGATTTAGACTTCACAGGGGTCATGACTTCTGGGTAGGTCTTGGGAGACAGCTACACTTCAACAGTGTTGGGAAATGTGAGATATCCCCTGGGAAAAAGGGACTTAACTCACACTGTTCCCAGAAACAATGGAGGTTGTCATACCAATTACCCGCTCAACATGGTGAGTGCATGCCTCAAAGGAGAACCTGACATCTAGGTCATTAAGATCAGTCCCATGATGCCACTTTTTCCTAAGAGTATTTAGCCAGCATTGCCAATTAGGCCAAATTAGACGGACAGCTGTTCTCAGCCATCCTGGTATTTTTTTTTTCCTGAGGCACATAAGTTTGAGGCCCCCACAAAAGTGTTCCTACCTTCATGCTGGCAAAGCCCATTTACTTTATTTTTGCTTTTAACAACATTTTACTTAGCCCAATATATCTAAACTGTTATTACTTTAACATAGAGTCAATATAAAGATTATATATGGAGACGTTTTACATTCTCTCTCCTTTTTAGAAATACTGTCTTGGGAATTCAGTGGGCATTTTATACTTACAGCATTATCTCAGCTTAGACCAGTTACATTCCAAGTGCTCAATATTCCTAAGTGGCTAGTGCCTACCCTTTCAGACAGCACAACTCTTCTAGATACTTAGCTCAGCCCACAGTCCTAGTTTTCTTCCTGACTGTGGAAAGCAATCAACATCCTTGTAGGTGTGAGGGGAAGAAATGAGCTTAGTGAGTGATGATCTGTTTTCCAAAAGCCCATTTCTTTTCTCAATTAACCACACACAGTGAACAGAACAAAGGAAAAGCTTTAACAGTAAGTCTTTTTCATTGCACACATCAGTTCAGTGTGAGGTAGGCAGCTGCAGGTTGGAAGATTTGGAGACTATCTCATGCAGAGTCAATACCGTCTATGGAAGATAGCTCTTAGGGCCTCTCTTGAGTGTGCATGTTCTGGTGCTAAATGAACTTAAAAGATGCAGCTGAAGGGTCACCAAAACGGTTGCACTCAGAAGGTCTTTCTTTGATGTGAACTTTTTACAAACCATGTAAGGTGGGAGCATCTCCTGTAGGCTCTTCCACCTTTACTGAACACACAGGCCTTAATCCAGTGTTTCATTGCTGGTGTGCAATGAGGCTGAAGTCTCCATTGCAGAATTTTCCACATTCTGTTCACGACTAGGCCTTGATCTGGCATGAGTTTTCTTGTGTTGAATAAGGTGACCATTAGCGATGTAGGTTTTTCCACATTCATTGCACACATAAGGCCTGGTTCCACTGTGAAGCCTCTTATGTACTTTAACGGAGGTCCTGGAGCTAAAGAATTTCCCACATTCATCGCACTCATAAAACTTTTCTCCAGTGTGGACTCTCTGGTGATCAGTAAGTACATATTTAGAGAAAAAGGCTTTCCCACATCTGTTGCAAGAATAAGGCTTTTCTCCACTGTGAATTTTCTCATGCTGAGTGAGTGTGTGTTTGCGGGTGAAGGCTTTCTGACATATACTGCACTCATAAGGTTTTGCTCCAGTGTGAGTTTTCTGGTGCTGCATAAGGTAGGAATTAGTACGAAAGGATTTCCCACATTCAGCACATACATAAGGCCTTAATATTTCCATGTGAATTTTCAGGTGTTCTTCAAGTTTGGAGCTACAATGAAACAATTTCCCACAGTCAACACACTGATAAAATGTTGTTTTGTTGTGAGATTTCTGGTGTAATATAAAGAAGCACTGGTCGCTAAAGAATTTGCCACATTTACTGCAATTGTACTCTCTTTGTTCAGTGTGAGAGGCCTCCTCACACTCAGTGCTCTGGCATGGCCTCTCTGCATTCTGAGTAGCATGGTGCTGGACAAGTCCAGAGCTGGCAGAGAAGTCCTCCCCACCGTTTCTGTCAGTGAAGGCCTCTGACACGGGGCCTCTGCTGCTCATAACAAACTGGGCCTGGTCATTATTCATTCGACCAGATCTCTCTCCACTCTGCCTTCTTGGGACTTGGTCAGGGTTTACACTGAACCAGAAGGCTCTTCCACATGACTTACATGGGTATAACTGCTGCCCAGGGGATGTTCCCTGCTGCCCAGCCAGATGCAAAATGTCTTTCAAGACAGGGTCACACATGTCACATTGGTGGCTCTTTTGGTTGGACAGACCCACCTGGAGAGTTCTCACCTGTGACACTCTAACAGAGACAGCCCTCTCAGAAGACGCATTTTCATCATTCACTCTCTTCCCACCACCAGGACCAGAGCTCCCTTGTTGCATGTTTGTCCCCGCAAAAGATACGTCCACCTCGTGAGGAACACTGGGTTGTCTCACTGGCCCAGGTTCGGTAATTAGAGAGTGTCTGCAAATTGTAAGTCCCACTGACGATGCGGTTAGAAAGTTCTCCAGCATCACGGAATAGTACAGGCGTTTCTGACCCTCATCAAGTAGCATCCATTGCTCTGGGGTGAAGGAAATGTACACATCCTGTAAAGTCACAAGATTCTGGTAAGGGGCCAGCTGTGCTGTTGCCTCCGCCGTTGCCTCCGCCATTGCCTCCGCCATTGCCTCCGCCATTGCTATAGCACCAAGGCCCTGCAAGGGCGCCACCAAACTCGAGTCACGAGGTCGTCTGCATCAGTCAGGGACGGAGAATCTCACTTACGTGAACCTGGAGCCAGGAAAGGCGTGGCGGTAGGTCTCACCCTTGAATCTGTCCTCTGCTTGGTGTGGAAGAGCCAGAACCAGAAGCACTGCCGTGTGAGAATCAGGAAAGAAGCCTCAGACGAGAGCGCCTGACTGAAACGAAAAAGGAACTTCCGGCGCAAGACCGGAAGTCCCGCCCAGCACTGCCGGAAAACTTTAATCCTGGAAGGGTTGGCTCTCTTCGATGGGAGAGACGAAGGAAGGCTGTGGATGGGAAAGATGACAAGGTCATTTTAAAATCGATAGTTTTCAGCTTCATTCAAATCCATCCACATTTCGTAGTGTTGTTTTCAATTTCACTTGCACTTAAATAAGTCTTGATATTATGAATTTTTTCCTTTTATATATCTCATGTTGCTATATGAGGTAGGTATTATTTTTTTTCCTGTGTTGATCTTGTATTTAGGCACTGTTAAATTCTCTTTTTAGTTCTAATTGTTAGTAGATTGATTATCTGAGATTGGTTATATAGATGATCATGTCCTCTGCAAATCATACTTTATTTCGTACTTTTTAACTTCTACATCCATTCTCCGCTTTTTTCTTTTCTCGTCTTATCGCAGTGACTAGAACCTTTAGGACAATGTTGATTAGTAGTGGTGACAAGAGGTGACTTTAATTTCTGAATTTAGTATAAATTATTCTAGGCTTTGAGTCTTATACTGTTTATGTATTTGTTAAAGATACCTGGTGTTATATTTATGAAAGTTGGTTGCCAGGATTTTATATTTTTTAACCATGAATGATTCCTGGATAGCATTCAATGGTATATTGACATATATTCAGTCTCTCTCTCTCTCTCTCTCTCTCTCTTTAATTTAGATACATTATTTTAGCTTTGTTGGTAAATTTTCTTAAATTGTGTTGTCCTTGCAATTTTGAAATTAAACCCTTGGTCATAATGTCATTAATATAATAAAGTATTGATTATGATTTTCCCGATACTCTATTTAGAATTTTTGCTTCTGTGTTTATAAATATAATTAATATACATTTTTTACTTCTCTGTGTTTAGAAGTATGATTAATATGCATTTTTACTTTCTTGTGCTTTCCTGACTTGGGGATCCACAGTCATTGCTAAACTCAGAAAATTAGGAATTATCTCTTTTCTATTTTGTATATTGGAGTAGTTTTTACACGGTTGAAATAAGCTTTTTAAAAAGAAGTTTAGTAGGGCTGATACCTTTGTGGTTGAAGAAATTTAACTACTCTTTACTTGATTTTCTTCTTGATGACCACTTGGTCTTTTGTATTTTTGTAGAATTTTTTCATGTTACCTATATATTTCTAGGATGTTGATCACTCACTGTATTATATTATTTTTATTTTTATTCTAGCTTTATTGTGGTATAATTGACAAATAAAAGTACATATTTTTAAAGTCTATAATGTGATAAATATACATTATGTATTATATATATACACACACAAGGTAGGGCAAAAGTACAATAGGCTTATAGTTCATATGGAAAAGAATACAATAATAACAATACAAGAATAAACTGTTCATGTACTCAAAACTGTAAACCTACTTTTGCGACACCCTGTAAATGACTTCCGCAATCAAGTTAATTAACACATCCATCGCCTTTTATAGTTGCTTTCTTTGTGTATGCATGGTTAGAATGCTTAAGATCTACTGTCTTAAAAAATTTTAGTGTACAGCATAGTTTTCAGTATAGTACTTTGCTGTACATTTTATCTCAAGAACTTATTCATCTTCTGAGTTTTTGCCCCTTTGATGAATATCTTTCTATTTTGTCCAGTATCTAGCCCCTGGCAGCTACCATTCTACTGTGTTTCTATGAGTTTGATTTTTTTTTTCCTAGATTCTACATATGAGTAAGTACATACAGTATTTATCTTTCTGTGCCTGGCTTATATCTTTCAACATAAGGTCCTCTGGGCTTATCCATATTGTTACATATGGCAACATTTCCTTCTTTATGATCAGATTATATTCCACTGTATATATAAAAAACATTTACTTTATCCATTCTTCTGTTAGCGGATGTTTAGGTTGTTTCAGTATCTTGGCTATTGTGAAGTGTTGCAGTGAACATGCGAGTGCAGAAATCCCTTCAAGATACTGATTGCATTTCTTTCAGATATACCCAAAAGTGGGATTATGGATCATATGGTATTTAATTTTAAGTAACCATTACTTAATAATTAGTTACACATTTTTCATTACTGATGTTATTTATTCATACCTTCCTTCTCTTTAAATATTACACTAGACAAAATTTCTTTTTATCATTCTTGTACAAAATTATGTATCTCTTGATTGAATCTGTGATGCTTTTTTGTTTCATCATTTTGTTTAATCATCATTATTTTCTTTTATTTCGAGTGTTTATTGTTCTTTTACTATCTTCTTGCAATGAAATGTTAATTTATTTATTTTCAGGCCTTTTAATGTCCTAGTAAATGCGCCGAGGCTAACTATCTCCTTTTTACCCATGGTTTGGTGAAACAGGTCTGAAATGAAGTGTGGTTCATTTTGTTTTGGGTTTTTTAAATTGTAATTTTCATTTGAGTTTCACTTTTACCTACAAGGTATTCAAAATTGTGCATGTAGTTTTTGAGATATTTGGGTTAGTATACTGTGTGCATTGTTTCTGTCACTGACTTTTCTAATATTATTTTACTGTATTTTGTTTGTGACTCTTATATGGTAGTTTCAGGAAACCTAAAACTTTATTTTTGCTTTTATTTATGTTTGTGTAAATTTCTGCACATGCATGAAAATAAATTGTATTTCCTCATTTGGGAGCATATATATCACATGTATTAGCTCAAGGCTGGCATTTGGTTTCTGAGATACATATTACCTTTTTCCACTTTCCATTACTCCTTTAGTTCTAAATTTGCCTGATTAAACTTAGAGTGGAGGATTTTACTTAGGGCTGACTCACTCACACAGAATTTGCTTTAATCTTTACCACTTACCAGCAGTAAGGTAATTGAATTGCCCCTTAGGATGGTGGTCTTTATTAGTCTCTGTTCTTGTTCATTGTTCATTCCAGGTTGGGTTCTTTCTTCCTAATTTCCAATCCCTGACAGAACTTTCCTACTCCTCACCCTAACTCTATCACTAGTCTTGCCCAAAGAAGGGAGGTTTTTTTTTTTGCACTTTGAGGAGTGATAAGATAGAAGGGACGCTATCAAGTTATTTCTACTGATAACTTCTCCTAAATATATAGATTCAATAAAAATGATTTCTATTTTTTGAACCTAGATGTTCGAAATTATGAAGACAAAATTTGACTTTTTATGTCCCCCTCTTTCCATTTCTGCTGACTTCCCACATGGTGGTCATTTGATTGAATAACTATAGTAGAAGGGAAGGAAGAAAATTCAGAATCAGGGGAAATTTGTTTAGTTCTCCTTAATTATATCCTATCATTCTCCTAATGCTGATTTCTATTTCATGACCTGCTTTCCCCTGCACTGCTTTTTTTCTTGCCACAGCCCACAAAATCGGTCACTTTGAAGAATAAAAAACGTCATGACCTTGATCAGATGGAGATTCACCCCCACTGATCACTGAGCAGAAGAAATTGTAAAATAGAACTTTTAATATTTTAAAGCCATTTGGAATACAGTTCATATGAATGATTTTCTATAGCGTACAAACTGGTGGAGAGATGATGACCCTGGAGAATTCGCACTGACAGCTGTGGGAACGTGACATGCGAGAGTAGCTTTTAATTGCACGTTTAATTTACCTTGCAGGAAAATGAAGCTCCCACTTTGTAATGAATACAATTACATAAATACTTGAAAATATTATCCAAAAAGTTACTCAGACTATTTTATGTTATTATTAGAATTATATAATGTCTATACTCTGTATTCTCTGGACAACGCTAAGGTAACTGCCACCCTGCTTTAGAGAAGAGGAGTGGAAGCTAGTTGGGAGATAAAATAAAGCATACCTTCGACCAGTAATTTTAGTAATTTATGAGAAATAACTTTACCAAGTACTTTCTGAAAAGCTCTTAGACACTGTTTTGAAACTGTCAGACTTATGGTTAATACAGCTAAGATGTGTAATTTTAAGGTGGTTTATTGTTTTTCCAGTTAATTGGATATTAATGTAATTTACAACAAATCAGTCATTTTTCTCGTGTGTTTTGACTTTGGGTAACTTTAAAGAAATTGATGTTTCAAAGAATGAATATGTATTATTTTTTCAAGGGCATTTGTCTTAAGAGCTTTTTAAAGATGTCTCTATTTAGGGACTAAAAAGATAATATATTCAGAAAAAGGCATTGGCTCATATAAAAACAGAACCCGGCCAAGGTCTTATGTATAAGGGGAAATCGAAAGATAATTTTAGAAGTTATAAGGAGAGAAATAATCACTGTTTAATATGAGAGAAAGCACGGGTATTTTCTCAGGCACAGGAAGTAGACCAGGCAGTCACTTGCCATGATTGGCAGTGATTTTGGGAGAAAATGGCGAGTTGTAACGGCACATGGGAACTGGGACCTATTAGAACTGCAGCTCAGCTCTTTATGTGTATACTTTAGAATTGTGTGAGTTATAGTGATGACTCTCAATATAAGCCACAAAACATCTGGCGGCGCTTAATGCCACTGCCCATCTGCTGCCATCTTAGCCTGCATTAAAAGAAATAGTGTCCAGTTCACGGTGCGGGGGTGGGGATGGGGAAGGTCCCACTGTACTAGTCAGAAACTATTCTGAATTTATCCTAGGTATAGCCTAAGGGAAGCAGCCCAGAGCAAAAATGTAAGGAATGAAAACAGTTCTGTTGTTGTTGTTGTTGTTGAGAATAAGGATTCTTGGGGACATCAGTTACAGTCTTTGAAAAATCTTAGTGCTGTTATGGAGAAAACAGTT